ACACAAACACGAAGTTTTATATCCACTACCACAATCATGATACAGAAAATTTACCTCTCTCTAGATCATCCTCTTCTTCCATCTGGCCCAGTCAATCTCTGATTTACTTGCTATCTTGTAGATTTGGGTTTCTTTCCCTTTTCCAGAGTTTTCTATAAATGAGGTTTTACAGTTTTTAGTGTCTGGCTACTTTTGCTTAAGCACAATGCTTTTGAAGTTTATTCATGTTGTGGGTTTTTTTTTTTTTTAAGATTTATGTATTATGCATGCAGGAACTCTGGGATACAGGCCAAAGGTGGCAGGTGGGAGGAGATGGTGGTGGTGAGAGGATTCACCAGAGGTAGTGTGGGGAGCAGAACAGGCAGGTTGACTGTAATCCACTGCTAAGAGGAGCAGCAGGTGAGACAGGAGAGGTCTGCTGCACCGTGTGGGTCAGCTCCCTGGCTGGGGATCAAACCCTTGCTGCATTGGCTATGGATCGCTTCATAGTGCTGAGACTTAACCCCTTGCACCAACAGAAGGCCCTGAAATTGATTGTGTGCATTTGCAGCATCAGAGGTGGTCTGTTGAGTGGTTCGCACAATTAATTGTTTCACTAAACAATGGACATCAGGTTGTTTTCATTTGGTAACTGTAGTGAATAAAGCTGCTCTGAACATCAGGGTGGAAGTCTTTAGCGAACATGGTTCATTTCTCTTGAGTAAATAGTAAGAGTCTCTTAGGTCATATGGTAACATGCACATTAGACTTCATAAGAAATCACTGAATTACTTTTCAAAGCAGTTGTCAGTAAGCACCATCCCTGTGGGAGGGTTTCAGTTGCTCCACATCCTTATTAACACTGGGTATCATCAGTCTTTTTAATTTTAGCCAATAATGAAATTTTAAGGTAGAAAAATAGAATGCATGAAATGGTATGTCTGGTGTAAGAAGCTAATCTGGAGACAGTGACAGCAGTGATACCAGTTTTATAACTGGTAGCTGAAATCAGTGTCATGCTTCCTTTTATCTGATTTATTGAGTTGTTTTTATCTGATTTATTGAGTTGTAATGCTGCTTTTCTTCATGTTAATTACTTGACAGTGTAAGGTGTCTCCTGACAGAAACCTCCTCCCTCCCCCGCCCTCAACCCCAGTGATTCTCCCAGTGGTTCTAGGACTTCTCTTACAGAACTTGTAGAAGATGGTGCCCTGGAGTCAGGTGGTCAGGGCTGGAAGGTTGGCTACGGGTGATGTAGCAAATTGTCTCTTTGCTTTTTGTATTGATACCACAGAGCAAAGCCTCCGATAATGATTTGTCTTTTTTAAGTCCTAGTGTTTTTCTATTTGTCAAATATGAAATAAAGAATGGTTGTGTTTAGTACAGGTATTAATGCAGAGTTAACACGTATGGGTCAAAGCTCCCATTGCCACGTCCGAGGTGGTACCTGAACATTGATTTTTATGCCCTTAGTAACTTGTGACTTCCTTGCAAATTCTGTATTGTTTTCCTTCTAAACTGATTGCCCTGACTGTTCCCTTCGTACACAGTAGCCACAGTAACGCTGCCGGTCCCTTATCCGGCGGCGACTTGCCTGTTCCCCTCACACGTGTCAGAGGCCCCCCCACTTAGTGCCACCTCATCCTCGCTGCGTGGCAGCATCTCAGGGAAGCCTCGAGGGGACCCACACTTCTCAGACCCGCCTGGGTTCTCCTTGCTGTCAGTTACCGTGATGGCATTGTTTGTTTGCTCTTTCTCCTCTCCATAAATGCTGGCGCATGTTGGTGCTCAGTGAATTCCTTGAGTCGATTCCCTTATTTTAAGTCCTGCGGACTGAGGCGCTTCCTGCTTCAGTGTCAGTTCCTTCCGACATTTCCCGGCTTTCTGTAGGTAGCATGAATCCTTAACAGACGGGTGGCTCTCAGTAGCGGCTCAGAATCAGCTGTATGTTGATAATTGTGTGGAATAATGAGATCAAATGTGTGAAATTTTAAAAAACTTTTAGTATATTTTTATTCTCATAGTAGTACTTCATAGAAAGTGTGGGAAGCAGAAGCGGTTAAAGGAAAGATGCCGAGAGGAGGTTGGAGAGCTCGAGACTGCTCCAGGCGCTTCATCGCGCGCTCTCACCGGCTGTGTGGGTGCCTCTGTCCTGGCACAGTCTTCAAAGTTTCAAAGTTTATGATTTGGTAGATGAAGTTGGTATCTTTCTTTTTTCTTTTTTTTTTATTTAATTATTACAAAAGTTTATTTTTACATCATTTTTGCACATTTTTTTTTCCATCTCGATTGTAATCCCCGCGGGTTTCCCATCACCAAATCACCCCTGTGACACCACCATAGTCCTGTGCATTTCCCCCCCCCCCATTTTTGATCCCATTCCCCACTCCACCCCCACAGAATGACTCTGGTATATGGTTGTTCATTATTTTTGTTATTTTCTCGCCTGGTCCATTATACTCCTGCTATGAGTGAAACCATCAAGTATTTTTCTTTCTCTTTCTGGCTTAACTCACTAAGCATGATCTTTTCCAGCTCCATCCAAGTTGCTGCAAAAGACATGTGTTTCTCTTTTTTGGAAGTCGGTATCTTTCTTTCCTTCCATTTCTTTGATTCACTTAGCTGTCATGCCACTGTTGTCCTTGTTCAGTTCTTCAGTCTCAGGCAGGTTTCTGGACCTGGCTGTCTGCTTATCTGGTCCTTGCCATTTGGTTTGACTCCCTAGCTAAATGTGCTTGCTGTGTGGCAGGACCTGTTCTCTGATAGTTTTTGTCTATGGGGATTTAACTTTCAGAGTAACTCTTTTTCTCTTCTTCCCTTCTCTTCATACTCTGCCCCACTCTTCTTTCTCACACCCCTTCCCTGCACCCTTTTGGGTGAAAGTCTTTTATGTCTACCTACCTGCTGGTATGGAACCTTTTCTCAATAGAATAACTACTATCCTAGAAATAGTTCTTTCTTTTCCCTCACTTCTGATTCTCTGTATATACTCTTGTTTAAACGTTGCAGACCTGGCAGGGAGAAAAGAGAGTTGCGTGTTGCATCTCAACACACACAGTTGTTGGGGGAGAATGGGAGGGTATGCCGTACGTGCAGAGGAATGCCTGTGTGTGCTGCTCAGAGCTGCCTGAGGGGGCCCTCCCTGGTAGTGCACTGGGTTAGGACACAGCATTGCGAGCTGGCCGCGGCCGCCTCCGGCCCCAGCAGTGACCCACATGGTCTCCTGTCTCCCTGCTGCTCCCTTCAGCAGTGTGCCTCGTAGATCTGCCTGTTCTGCTCGGACCTCTCCTGTCTCCCTGCTGCTCCCTTCAGCAGTGTGCCTCGTAGATCTGCCTGTTCTGCTCCCCACTCTGTCTCTGGTGCATCCTCTCACCGCCCCTGCACCTCTGGCCTGTACCCCAGTTCTGTGTGTGTAAATAAAAAAACCTTTGAAAAAAGAAAAAAAAGTTGCCATCGGTATTTCTTGAAAAGAATTGTTTTGTTCTAAGTGTTATACCTCAGCAGAGTAAAAGGGTTGTCACTCTGTTTTGGTCTCTAGAACTGTTTTCAACATCTCCCTGACTTGTAAAATCTAAATTGTGGGAACCACTACTTGATTTCACACTGCAGTGACAGGCTTTGCGTTGGTGGTGTGGCGGTGTTCACTGACTAGCATGCAGGTGTAGCTCTGGTTTCCGTGGGGGTTAAGGCTTTTTTTAGCATTGATGTGTAATACAAACATAGTATTTCATGGAAAATTTGCAAATTACTACATTAGCTCTATGTACAATTAGTTTATTTTCCTTGAGCACATGAAAATAAGATGAAGCAATTTACTTTGACTTACGAGCCATTTTGCACACAAAATACCCTTTCCCCATTAGAATTATACTTTGCAGTCATATCTTGCCTCTCATGCTTCCTGCTCTGGCTTCTTTGTGGCTGTTGGTGGGCACAATCCATCGTTTTCTTCCCTTTCTCCTTTTGCGCATCCTGTCCCTATGTCCTGCGGTATTCTTGTACCCAAATATCCAGAGGTTCTGGGGGAGGAGGAGGACCGAGAAGGGGCATGTGTCAGTCTGAAAGGTGCTCAGAGAGTACAGGTGGATTTGAGTGAGTACACTTAAATATCAAACTGAGCTTTGAAGACTCGTGGGTGCCACCCGTATGCCTGTTGGTAATACATCACACAGCTGTAGTTAGCAACACTAAGAAGTTGACATTGGCACCACATAGCTGACCGTGGACCTTCAAATTTCATAGTTTTTGTGTGCACTCATTTTTCTTTTTCTTGTGTGTTTATAACATATAATTCTATGATGTTAAAAGCATCATTTTCAGAGTTGTGGTTTACAGAAAAGCTGTAAAGGTAATACAGAGTTCCTTTGCAGTCCTCACCCTCTTTCCTGGTCATGGCTTACATCTGACGTATATTTCTTACGCTGACTGACCTCTATTGGCACTTTCCATTATACCCCACAGTTTACTCTGATTTCACTAGTTTTCCCCTAATGTGCTTTTACAGTGCCTGGTGCCTGTTCAGAATACTGCACTGTTTCTGCCATTATGTCTCTTTAGGATCATCTAGACTGTTCAGTTTTTTAGATGCTTCTTGTTTTGATGATCTTGACGACTTGGAGGAATTCTGGTTAGTGGTTTATAGAATGTTCCTCAGTTTAGATTTGTCTGCAGTTTTTCTCATGGTTACATTAGGGTTATAGACTTTTGAGATGAAGACAGCAAGGTACGATGCCACTTTTATCACATCATGTTGGCTGCAAGCTCTGTTCTGTGTTACTGTTTATGTGACCTTGGTCACCCGACCAAGTACTGGTGGCAAGGTTTTGCCCTGCAAAGTTACCCTGTTCCCCCTTTCACACACCACTCTTAGGAGCACATTCCTAAATACAGCTTACATTCAAGGATGTGGGGGCTTCAGTTCAGCCTCCTGGAGGTTGAATTACTTGCACTTATTCCAACAGGTAGTTAAACTGGAAAAAAGCATGAGCACTGAACCAGTCTAATATATTTGTTCTTTGCAGGGTGGGAAACCCCGTAAACATCGGAAGGATCGGCTACAAGATTTGATTGACATAGGCTTTGGCTATGATGAAACAGATCCATTTATTGATAACTCAGAGGCTGTGAGTAATGTATCTTTACTATACAGCATTTCTTTGTTATTTTTTTGTTAGGATACCAGAAGTCAAAAGTAAAATAACTGAAACAGATTAGCAAATGGTTTTTGTTAAGCTATTGATGTATAACTAAATTGTTTCCAGTTTTATACTCTTACAAAAGGTTGAGCCTCTATGTATACTGATCTTTGTGTCCCGAGTAAATGTGATGTGTGCTGTTTATAGTGTGCAGATATATTTGTAGGGTAATTTTCTAGCAATAGTGTTTGCATCTTGGTGTTTGTTTCTTGAATATTTGTTGGTTTTACCAAACTTGGGCAGGTGTAGTTTGAAATGACTTCCAGATAAGAACCATGAGCTCTTGAAGGTTGGAGCTCCTGGATTGAAGTGAATCTGGCACGTATCTTTAAAATCTACTTGTTTTATAGCTGCCATGCCTTTCTACAGTGGCAGTAATGGGTTGCCAGCTTTCACCCCATCTGCTCTGGTCAGGTTCTGCAAGTTTTCCCATAGAATCAGCTCTCTCTCCTACAGAAAATGGTACTTAGGAGCGCAGTCAGGGCTACAGCAGGCCACTGGGCACATGGAGGTGAGCAGGGGCATGTGATGTGCTAGAGTCGGTGTGTGATCTTAATGCTCTTCTCAGTGAGCCAGAGCAGTCAGCCAGGGGTTTAGGATGAACACAAAGTCACACTGTGTTGTAGTACCTCCCACGAATCCGTATAGCTCTTGCCTTCTACTTGGTGTTACGGATGATGACAAGGCATCAAGTGCGAGATGAGTGCTGAGGAGAAGTTGTAGAATGAGGCACCTTGGCGTCTCCATCAAACTCCTAAGTTATTTTGATGTCCTCACATAAACCGATTTTCCATGCCAGGCAACGTGACCTGCAGAAGTAAAATAACAACAATGTCCTTTTGAGTAGAGAAGCCTCCCTGTCACCAAAAAGGTGGCCATCCAGCATGGGGTGTTTTCAAGAGTCTTGACCTTGATTTGGAAATCAAGTCAGCAGTCCTGGATCCTGGTCCTGGCTTGATTTCTCATTTCCTTTTGACCAGGAATAAGTCTTCCAGCATCACCCAATTTTACCTGAATTCCTCTGAGACTCAAGTAAGATAATGATGTCCTGAAAAGCATAAAGCCAGTGTGAAGTGGTACTTGTAGTATAACATTATAGGTAAAGCAGATTTTGAACCATAATGACTCAAGAAGGAACATGGCCATATGTAAATGGACATTGCATCCACTCTGTTACGTTACACATACTTATGCTTAAATAAATAGCATATTTAAAATTAATGCTTTTTTTTTTTTTTTAAAGATTTATTTGTGCATACAGAACTGGGGTGCAGGCCAGAGGCTCAGGGGCGGTGAGAGGCTTCACCAGAGACAGAGTGGGGAGCAGAACAGGCAGATGGACGAAGTACACTGCTGAGGGGAGCAGCGGGTGGGTCAGGAGAGGTCTGCCGCACCATGTGGTCACCTCCGGGGCAGGTGGGAATTGAACTCATGAGGAAGCAGCTTTAGATTCTCAGTGTAGTGCTTTAACCCGCTGCGCCACCAGGGAGGGCCAAATTAATGCTTTTTTTAAAAAAAGATTTATTTATTTATGCATACAGAACTGGGATACAGGCCAGAGGTGCAGGGGCAGTGAGAGGATTCACCACAGAGTGGGAAGATTGACTAAGTACACTGCTGAGGGGAGCATTGGGTGGGCCAGGAGAGGTCTGCCGCGCCATGTCGGTCACTTCTGGGGTGGGGATTGAACTCATGCTGCAGTGGCTTTAGCTCCTTAGTGCTGTGCTTTAACCTGCTGTGCCACCAGGGAGGGCCCAAAATTAATACATTTTTTTTTAAAGACTTATTTATTCATACAGAACTGGGGTACAGGCCAGAGGTGCAGAGGGTGAGAGAATTCACCAGAGACAGAGTGGGGAGCAGAACAGGCAGATCAATGAAGTACACTGCTGAAGGGAGCAGCGGGTGGTTCAGGAGAGGTCTGCCGCTCCATGTGGTCACCTCCGGGGCAGGCAGGATCGAACTCATGCGCAAGTGGCTTAAGCTTCTTAGTTCAGTGCTTTAACCCACTGCGCCACCAGGGAGGGCCAAAATTAATACATTTTTAAGAGCAGTTTTAGGTTTATAGCAAAATTGAGTGGCAGGTACAGAGATTTCCCCTAGCTCCTGTCCCCATATATACACAGCCTCTTCCACTGTCAGCACCCCCTCTGGGGTGGTCCATTAGAGATCAATGGGCTGAAACTGATAGTTCTTCACCCAGAGTCACGTGTTTATCTTCAACTTCACTGCTGCTTGTTTACATCTGCTCTGGCAAATGTATAATGAGATGTGACCCACCATTACAGTATCATGCAGTATAGTTTCACTGTCCTAAAAATAATCCTCGCTTCGCCTGTTCACCCCTTCCTGACCCCTGATAACCACTAATCTTCTGTCTCGATCACTTTGCCTTTTTAAGAATGCCATACAGTTGGAATCATTGTGTGTAGGTTTTCATAGCATTTTTTAAAATTTCCTTTGTTGTGGTTAGAATATTTATAAAATGTTTTTCAAACTGACTTTTGCAGCCCATAATTGGTTTACATATTGATTTAGAGAAATGTGGCCATCACTTTTAAAAAAAGGAAATAGAATAGGAACTATCATAGTAAGTTGGTAGATTGTGGTAGATTGTGATTTTGTGTGTGTGCCGAGGGGAGGTTGAGTTGTAATGTCTTTATTTACTGCTTCAGTTACTGTGAAGAAATCTGAAATCTCTTGCCTTAATAAATTATAAAGATCATCAACATAAGTTGGATGAAAGTTGCACAAGTAATTACTGACACTTATAGATCAAGGTAGCAGCCTCTTTTATAAGAGGAGATTAAGCTAAATGCAGGGTATTTACTTGCAAAATAAGTTCATTCCTTGACCTTCTGCTGATTTTATGAGATAATTCAGACATAAAGCAGTTATGATCCAACCAAATGATTCTTTGTTCTTTCTACATTGATTCTTTTGTGTTTTTTTAATTGATTTAACAGCAAGCTTTTACAGTTTATATACTATTTGATAATGTATAAAATAATTTTCTCCTAATTTTTATAATGTACTACTTATTATTTTAAATACCTGAAAATAAATACTTTTGAAGATTATTTTTAGATATTATTTCACATTTATTACATTTAGTTATTTATATATTTACAGTTATTATATATTTAGTTATTATTTATATATTTACAGTTACTACATATTTAGTTATCTTACATTTATGCTGTCAAATTCTAAAATGACTTAGAGAAAATATTTTTCTTTATTAATAAACATTAACAGGGAGGTGTTAATTCCTACCCCAAAGTACTTGTTAAGTGACTTGTTTTGGGTCACAATAACTAGTCATTGGCCAAGGATTTAAACCCACGCCCTCTGATTCACAGTTCAGTGCTCCCTTGCCCCATAACACATTTTACTGGGAAGGCTGCATTGAGTGTGCAGAATACATTTGTTCTGCTGAAGAGAGGCCGGTGGGAAAAGCTCAGCCGGTCAGCAGGTGCAGCTCGCACCCGGCCCTGTCCCTGGTGATGAGTGATTCCCCGTGAGAAAAAGTTGTTCTCCAAATGTGGAATAGCTTATGACTCCAAGTATCGTATACTTGGAATTGTCAAGAATTAACAAGTAGTTTGGTTTGCTGCAGGCGATTAAGGGTTAAGGAACCCTTTCACATTTTCCCCAACTGTAGAATTAAGGATTCTCAGGGTCCTGTGTAGAACAGTGGGAATGGGACCTTGAGTGTGCCTGGGAAATAACTGGTTTTCCAGTTCCAAGGTGAGAGGATTTACTCTGACTTCAGATAGGGAATGTGTTATCTTGGGACAGAATCCTAAGCACCTGGCTGAGTACTGGAGGGAGACTCTTGAACAGAATTCTTTTTCTATTTTTATTCAAAACACAAAGCTAAAATGGCTGAGTATATACTGTAACAATTGCTTTCTTTTACAAGAGATCAGATCCTGCCTTCAGCTTTGAAAAATTTTAAATAAAGTCATATTGAACTTAAAAAAAAAAGAAAGAAACTGCTTGGATAGCAGGCCTGCTGGGAGTCAGCCAAGGACTCTGGCGTAAGCTCAGAGAATTGCTTTGGTGATGTTCTTAACCTGGCGGAATCTGGTTTTCATTGATAAAGTGGGAATATTTGCCTTGCCTGCCTAGAGAGTATCATGAGGACCAAGTGAGTAATTTATATGGAGACGCAATTAAGATCATAAAGTAGTGTACACAGACGTGGGCCGACCGTAGAGGTGCATTTATTTATCTTACCGCAATTAAACATTTTCGGAATAATTTCTACAGTCTTTTCACGTTTCACCTTCACTTCACATGTCACTCCTTTACTGCACACAGTACCGGGCTCTTTCTGGGGGTCTCACCTACCTGTGTTTACAGGAGCCCATCTGTGGGAGCAAGAAGGGAAGATTGTGTTTCCTTTTTCTTTTTTCTCCTTTCTTTTCGATTTAATATGATTAAGTTGGATATTCTTTTTCCTACTTTCCAGATAACTTAAAAGGATACCGGTTAAAATCACATTTGTTCTTAACCATAATTCCTTCCTCCGCCTCCCATAACTAATATGTTATGAATATTCCTTGCCTGTGGCAAACAAGGTTCCTTGAAGAAACTTTCTTAAAGACTAACTGTATACTATACAGAACCCAGAAGTGGATTTGTAGGGTACTTGGTATCTTCTTGTGTTAGAGAAGTAGTTCTTTCCCTCGCATTATGAATTCCTTCATTTGATTAAGATTTAACCTTTTTTTAAAGCTTCAGTTTGTCCATCTTCATCAGGTGAGTTGATGATAAGCATTAAAATCCAGGCTTACGGGCCCTTCCTGGTGGCGCAGCGGGTTAAAGCACAGCACTAAGAAGCTAGAGCCTCTTCCGCATGAGTTCGATCCCCACCTGCCCCAGAGGTGACCACAGGGCGCCACAGACCTCTCCTGATCCGCCCGCTGCTCCCCTCAGCAGTGTGCTTTCAGTCGGCCTGTTGCTCCCCACTCTGTCTCTGGTGAAGCCTCTCACTGCCCCTGTACCTCTGACTTGTACCCCAGTTCTGTATGCAGAAATAAATAACTCTTAAAAAAAAAAAAAATCCAGGCTTACAGGACATCAGGTTTAAAGGGTATTTTGGGTCACGCCTTCAAGTCTCTTTACACAGTTTGAGCCGCTTGCTCAAAGTAAAGTGCCAGGCTCCTTTTATAGACCCTCCGTGGAAACTTACCAGCCGGGAAATTGGGAAATGATTTCACTGCTTCCCTGTAAAATTCATACATGCTGTTTTTCTTTTCAGTGTTTAGAACAGTCCTCAACTCGAAAGCTTAGAATGGAGACAAAAGAAATAAATGTGTTATTTATAATCTCTGTATGAATAATATTATGAATAATATGAATAGTATAGTAGGAAATGAAATTTATTCTTTGGCTGTTTAGTCATCTGTCATAACTGGTTTATTTTTCAATAGAATCATTTATCATTAGGCATAGTAGCAATGATCCTTAAATTTTTTTTAGTATATAACATACTTAGAATTTGCTTCATTATTCTAGAAGTTCCTTTTTTATTAAATGCTCAATGATCATAGCTCATGTAATTATACATAGTTACTTTTTCTAAATTTATTCTACAAACATTCTTGTTGAAGTCAGTTTTGCAGGTGGTATTTAAGGAATTCACTAACACAGTGATTAAATTTCTTTGACATTTGTTGAATTAATGGCAGTAGGAGATATTTTAAACTTTCTTTTTTGATTTAGTATGATGAATTAGTTCCTGCTTCTCTAACAACAAAGTATGGAGGCTTTTATGTCAACACGGGCACGTTACAGTTTCGCCAAGCTTCAGATACTGAAGAAGAAGATATCACAGACAACCAAAAGCACAAACCACCCAAAGTGAGTTTCTCCAACGTTGCAACAGTGATGAAGGAGTTCAAGCAATTGGATATACTTTTGAATTTACTTGTGCCACAGCTGTGAATAAAAGGAAAAGCAAAATATTAACCATTGTTTAATGAATCTACATTGTTTAACTACATGCTTTAAAGTAAAATTAATGTAACCTGTGAAAACTGACATTTATATCATAATAGAATTGTATTTTGTTTTAAACCTTATCTTTCCATATGTGATCTAATAATCTACTGTTTTAGGGATAAAGTTAAAATTCTAGAGTAGGTGAAGACTTGGTACAGAAATGGTAGTCCTCATTACTTTTCTTAAGGTGTAATTTGTAAAGCAAGCTCTATCGAACCTACATATTATATTTGGTAACTGGACAGAATGTCCTTAGAAAGTCTTTCTTAAAGTGTATTCCAAAGACTTACACCAAAATGTTTGTTTAAAAAGCAAATTATAGGGGAATTCCCTGGTAGTACAAGAGGTTAAGTCTCAGCACTATGAAGCTATTGGCAGCCATTGCAGCACAAGTTCAATACCCAGCCAGGGGGGTAACCCACATGGCACAACAGACCTCTCCTGTTTCCCCGCCAGTCCCCTCAGCAGTGTATTTCAGTCGGTCCCCACTCTGTCTCTGGTGAATCCTTTCTCACACACACACACACCAGTACCTCTGGTCTACACCCCAGCTCTTGTATGCATAAATAAATAAAATAAATCTTTAAAAAATGAAAAGCAGGTTATAAGGTCTTACCTAGATAATTGAATTAAAATCAAAGGTAGAAGTGCTCATGGACCCCAAAAATCTGCATTTTCAATAAGCAGTGCACTTTGAAAGTTGAGGAAAAACTACTTTGGGTGGAATGCTGAGTTGATAATGTGCGAGCATGAAAGTATTGATCCTTCAGTGAATGGTATCTTCTTTTATGACTTTGCAGATTCCCAAAATAAAAGAAGATGATATTGAGATGAAGAAGCGGAAACGGAAAGAGGAAGGGGAAAAGGAAAAGAAACCAAGGAAGAAAGTTCCCAAACAGCTGGGGTATGTGAAGTCAGACGTAATAAGTGAACTAGCGCCATGGGATGACTGGCTCTCCTTTTCGAAAGATCTGTTTAGCATGAATTAATTCAGCTTAGCTGGCTTTAATTTCATACGGTATGTCAGTGACTGGCATGTTAGTAATACTGGATGAAAAAAATAAGTAAAAGACTGTCATCTTAGAGACTGATGGCATTTTAGAACAGTACAAATTTGTTCATTAACTATTTCACTCACTGCAACTCTTTACCAACAAGAACTAGTTTGGAAAGGTGGTATGAACATTGAACAGATTGGTTTGATCTTTTTGTAATAAAACTAAGTTTAGATGCTTTAGAATTGAGAGTTGGCTTTAACCTACATGTCAGTGATTTATGGTGGTTTTAATATAAAAAAGTCATTGATTTTATTTAGTTATTTTTAGTGCTTTCCACATATTAAGTAATGATATTGCCTATAAAAACCAAGAATTTCTTAAGAGCCTGAAAGTCATAATAAAATGTTTACACCATTTTATGCAATCATAAAAATGACCAGTTCTCCTACTTTTCCTGACGTTTTTGTAGAACTAAGGTACAGAAACTTGCAACAGGCTGAATTTCCCCATCTCGTTAGCAGGGGAGGTACATCTGAATTTTGGGCCGTTGGTATCTAAAAGGTTGATGTAGGGAGAGGTGTTTATCCCCTGAAATTATGAAGGAAAACAAAATATGTATCTACACACATACACATTTATAGATATACTCATATGTTACTAATGTTATTTATTTTATGTGGGGGAATTTCTAGTGAGGCCTAGAAAACCTGGACAAATTTTGAAAGTTCTGTAACACTCAAGAAAGGCTATTTATTTGCAAGCAAACTTTTTGGGGAACAAAGACTATTTATTATATAGCCTTTATTGAAGTTTTGTCTTTCTTTCAAAGTTATACTTTATTCAGCAAACATTAAGTATCCTCCATATATCAGGTACGGTTAAGAGTTTTGGATTTATAACAGTAAACCAAGTGTGGACCTGTGTTCCACACATTAGTAAACTTAGGTTCTCTGTTGCACTTAAATCATGTAAACCATAGAATTTGGAAAAGACTTCTTAGAAACGGAGACACACACACACACACACACACACACCACCCCCTGCACCACCCGCCTGCCTTTCACATAGTTCCTGGGAGAAACTAAATCATTGAGAAAGCTGTCTTTGAAAAGTGCACATAATCTGTCTGATTGCTTCATAAAGCTATTCCTAGAGTCAAAAGTCAAAAATGATCAAAAGTAGTGGCAGGTAGAATAGGGCCTAATAGAAAGGTGCCTTGGAGATGGGTGAGGCATACAGAGAGGGGTGCAGAGGGCTTTGTGTCTTTTGCTAGTTTAGTTGGTTTAGTTGTAGCACAGACTGCCTGGAGTACTAGTTTGAAGGTGTCACTTGTGGACTGACAGCTCTGTTCTCAGCAACAGTGCATTTCATTACTTGGTTAATTCTTCGTAGATCTGCTATAAAGAAAATGGTAGCAAGGTTAACTGAGTGTATCTTTAGTCCTTTCATTTTCTCCTCTCCAGTGGTCACTTACCCGGCTACCTACCATTGCCCAGGTGATAGTGATGAAGGTACTGTTGTAAAGGTGTAATTTAATAAGAAATGTGTTCTCCTGCCTATCAAATGATCATTTTAATTCTTTGTTCCTCACACGGACTTTAGCCTTTCAAAGCATGTCTAGCTTAATGAACACTTTTTTCTTCACAGAGTTGTGGCTCTAAATTCCCATAAGTCTGAGAAAAAGAAGAAACGTTACAAAGATTCACTCTCTCTGGCTGCCATGATACGAAAATTTCAGAAAGAGAAGGATGCATTAAAGAAGGAGTCTAACCCCAAAGTCCCAGTGAACGTATCAGCCTCGTCTCTGAGTAAACCCCCTTCTGCTGCTGTCGCCTTGGGAAATGATGTTTCCGACTTAAATCTGAACAGTGCTGATCCGGACCTCCCCATTTTTGTTAGCACAAATGAACATGAACTGTTTCGGGAAGCTGAAAATGCCCTAGAGATGCTAGATGATTTCGACTTTGACAGACTACTGGATGCTGCTTCTGATGGTAGTCCCCTCTCCGAGTCAGGGGGAGAGAATGGAAACACCCCCCAGCCGACCTACGCCCCTCAGGTGATGCCCAGGGTGGTACCTACACTCCCGGAGGGTCTACCTGTCCTTCTTGAAAAACGTATCGAAGACCTCCGTGTAGTAAGTGTGATAATCCACTTTTGTTTCTCATTTGCTGCACAAATACAATAAATGCTTTTTATGGACAAGAAAAATAATATAACACAACACTCTTAGAAACAGTGTTTTTAGTTTTGGGCTTTTTGGTATTTTAGACATTGAGTATGTGCATAGATAGGCATTTTAAAAAATAGAAATGTATTTTATGTAACTATAGTTACAGTGTGGATGCAGTTGCTTTTGAACTTCACTTTACGTTTTTCTGCGTAGCTTTTCTAAATATAATCTTCATGGGGCAGTTGGGAGCAAGTAATAATGTTGTGGGAATGTACCTGAACTTAGTCCGAGCTCTGCTGACATACAGGTGTTTTGTAATAGGCTTTTCCAGCTAATCCTGAAAATTTGCCAGCTAATTAGCCACTCTAGTAAGTGTTGTGTTCCACTAGGCAAAGGAAGAGCTGAATTTGTAGCCTGTCGTAGATTCCTCTCCAGATCAGCGTGGATTCCAGTCTTCACTTGTTTGACTAGCTACACATCCATGTCATCTACTTCTCTGTTTAATCTAAGACAGATGTTTTGATGTAAAACATGCCAAACCTCAGTGAAAATGTCCTCTTGATTACTTTAGTGTATTTTAAATCATGCCTTATGGCAGTCCTCTCTTTTCTCATGATGACAAAAATAGTTTGCACACAGGTCTCCCGCCCCGCAGACATAATCACTGTTACTGCTTATTTCTCTAGATCTTAATCCATGTATTTTTGCAAACAGTATGTTACGTAAAATAACTGGTAATGGGATTGTAATGTATAGACTGTTCTACATTTGCTTCTTTCTCCTATGATCTACTTCTTTCCAAATGATCTACTTAAATCATGCCTGTACTTTTATTAACCATCTCTGTTGTATTTATTTTTTTGACCACTTTTAAATTTAAATATCTGATTAGGGAAGAAAGAAATGTATCTAATTTTTCCAATAACTGGCCAATGGGTTTTATCAATTCTTATTTTTCTGGTTTTTTTGTTCTTCACTATTTCTTCTGAGGTCATGACTTAGTAATTTTTTTTTTAAAGATTTATTTATTTATTCATACAGAACTGGGGTACAGGCCAGAGATGTGGAGGGTGAGAGGATTCACCAGAGACAGAGCGGGGAGCAGAACAGGCAGATCAATGAAGTACACTGGTGAGGGGAGCAACGGGCCGGTCAGGAGAGGTCTGCCTCGCCATGTGGTCACCTCCGGGGCAGGCGGGATCGAACTCATGCGGAAGTGGCTTTAGTTTCTTAATGCTGCGCTTTAACCCGCTGCGCCACCAGGGAGGGCCATGACTTAGTAATTTTTAATTTTATTTTAATGTATTCAGTTTGTCCTGCGCTTACTGAGGTGCATTAAGCATATCATCACTAATGTTTCTGAGTTTGTAACTTGTGTTTACCATAGTTTTTGTTTTGCTTGTCTGTGTTATTTGACTCATACAGTCCTTGAGTGGCTACATCGTGACTGTAAACATTTGAAGGTAATTCTTTTGGGCTATTAATGCTTTTCACCTCAAATTCTGTTTTATCTGGTTTTACTATAGGCAGTTTGCCTGTTGTTTTGCAATTATAGTTTTTCTCATCATTTTCCTTCAACCTTTCGAGTTCCTTTTTTGAGTTATTTATCTTAGAGATTGCAACAAATGACAAGGTAGTCTCATATGAGAGTATTTTCTCTCAGCAAGTGACTTTCTCATACCGCTGCAGTGTGCATACATTGATGTGATTGATTTTTATTCTGTTATTTTCTTTTGTATTGTTTTATTGTTCCCTTTGTCCTTTATTTTCCTTTTTATTTTTTTCTTTCTCCCGGAAAGTATACAATCTGTATTTTCGTTAATCAAATAGGTGTATCATCTTCTCACCGGCTCTGTGAAGTACGGGTACTATTTCTTGTGGGTAAGGAACTCAGTGGAATAGCTGAAATAGACAGGCAAGTCCACACAGCCAGGAAGCAGTAGAGCCAGAGTTTAAACACAAGGATTCACCTCCAAGGCATTTGCGTTTTGCTATTTTATGTTGCCCTAAAATCTCTAGTTTTTTGATTTTAAAAAGCACTGATGGTGTCACCCAGATTTTTCAGTGATAGCTACTCTTTATGAGCAGAACCCAGTTCTGGGTGTTGAATGCAGTGTGCTGGGTGGCACCATCATAAGAACCATAAGCCACCCGCGTGCAGCTCCCTGAGGCTTAATGTACCTAACACAGCAAGTGGCCTAACCTCCCGAGGTAGGCTTCTTCCATTCAGTAAGTGAGGCAGCTTGTATTCTTCCATTACTAGACAAAGACACTACAGTTCAGAGAAGGTGAAGGGATCTACCAGCAGCCACATGATTTTGCAGTGGCTGCGTTGGTTCAGAGGTAGGTCTCAGAGGCAGGGCCATCAGAACCTGTAACGCGCGCTCTGTTGTATCAGAGGTGGCATTTGATCCTGCTCACTCGGTGTGTTCCTGTCGTGTAAGGCTCTGTCATCTCTTCTGAACCAAAAACAATCGTCTCCTTCCGTAATAGCCATTCCAGCTGCTTCCTCTGCCTTAGTAGAAGATTCTCATTAAGGTATATTGCACTTACTGATTGATATCTATGCATTTTTCATATTTTTTTTTCTTTAGAAAATGAGATTTGAATATTGGCAAAAATACTTGAATTCTGTCTGATAAAAAGAGTTTCTTGTTGATCTTCTCTCACTTTGTAATATTGTTCTACTGTTTAACCTCTTGACTTTCTTTTTTCCCTTAAATTCTAGTTTTCATTCTAGTTTTTGTCCTATATTTCTGTCCCCTACACACGCCCAGTCTTAAAAGCTGGAAGGTGGTCTCAGAAGTTTTTCCTGTTATAACATGTAAGATTGTCAGGACTTGAGAGAGTTGAACTTGGCAGAATCAGCGTGGGTTGGCATAGATGACTAGGTCAAGTCTCTTGGTTACTTTAGTAGATCTCAAGGTAAACTATATCCTTGGTGACTTCCCTAGTAAATTTTGCTTATGGCAGGATGTCTTGTTTTGTATTTTTTTGTTTCTGGTCAGCTGGTTAAGCTGACAGACAGAATGATGAAAAAAATTATCCTTAACCTTGTCGAATTAATTTTTTTTAATCCCATGATAATATTTGCACTGTTGGCAATGAGGCAGAATTCAGACGAGCTGCAATAAGCCAAGTGTCTAAGCAGGGTGGCAGTGTTGTTCAGCTGACGGCATAAAGCTGCTTTTGGGAGCCCTGGCTCCAGAGCCTAGCAGCAGCAGGGTGCTGCAGCCTCTCTAAGACTTAGATTTCTTATTTGTGTAATGGGTGCTGAAATACCATGGTCATTGGCTGTTGTAAGAATTAAACAAAAGTAATGAATAGAGGGCCAGCCTGGAGGCGCAAGGGTTAAGTCTCAGCGCTCTGAAACTATGGACAGCTACTGTAGTATGAGTTCAATCCCCGGCCAAGGAGCTGACCTGCAGGGCACAATAGACTTCTCCTGTCTTGCCTGCTGCTCGCTTCAGCAGTATATTTCATTCAACCTGCTTGTCTGCTCCCCATTCTGTCTCCGGTGAATCCACTCACCCCTTGCCTCAGTTCTATACATAAATAAATATTTTTTTTAAAAAATGTTCTTTATGTTAAAGATCCTTTAATTATCTACTTATGCAGGTACTAAGCTGGTTATGGAATAAAGCATCCTATAAATCATAGCTCCACCCTCGCAGAGCATATTCTTTTTCTTTTTTTAGAGCATATTCTTTAATGAATAGATATAGAAGTAAATAATGCGTTTATTAAGAATTATATTGACAATTTTATATTTCTCTAGGCTGCCAAACTTTTTGATGAAGAAGGAAGGAAAAAATTCTTTACCCAGGATATGAATAATATTCTTCTAGAGTAAGTAATTTTCTTATTTGATTAAAAAGAAAAAAAAAACTTTCAATTATTAGGAATCCTCTTAAGAATTTATGCCTTAAGAGATACAGATGGTGGGTGGTTGGCTAGTCTCAAGTTTCTTATCATAGTACATATGGTTAATATTTGTTAGCAAATTTGCCTAGGCATATATTGGTTCTCTGGGACCTTCTATGATGGTCAGTGCTTCCAGTATTACAGATCAGAGCAAATGACCACTTTACAGGTCAAATGTTATTGTAGATTGAAATGTTTGGTTTTGGTTCTCATCACCATATATAAAAATATCTTTCCGGGGTAGCTCTGAGTGTTTATATTATTTTTGATAGAATTCTCTATCTGCTTTCATTATTTGGAATTGGGAAAAAATAATTCCATTGATTAATATTTGTGAGGTTGATTTTAAAGTTGTACAAACATGCATAGCTAGTGGATATTATGGTTTGATAAGGAATTCATGTTTGTGGGGTAGGAGGGAGTAGAGAAGACAGTGAGATTGAGAAGGAGAGGGTGAAAGCTAATAGAAATTGTATTTAAATTAGTGTCCATTTTCACTGTTAGAGTTGGATATTAATGAAGCTGTTGGTTCTAAGGTTGCCATACTTCTTGGCTTATAAATTTTGATTACTGATTATAGAAGTTGAGTGTATATTTGACTATAACCAGAACTGGGCATAAAAGGAGTGATCCTGGGGAAAGTAACACATTTTTGTCCTCTTTCTGATGGAAATAATATATGGCAGCTCTTGGTTCAGTAACATCATATAGAAAGAAACAGGAAAGCAGTGTTTCTCAAATATGATCCCTGTCTTTTTATATATGTGTGTATATATATAATAGTTTATTTTTATCAATTTGTACATTTTCCATCTCAGTTGCAGTTCCCTTGGGCTTCCCATCACCAAATCACCCGTGTGCCATCATCATAGTCCAGTGCATTTCCCTCCTCCCACTGTTTTTGATCCCATTTCCCACTCCACCCCCACAAAATGTCCCTGGTATATAGCTGTTCATCATTATTTTCTTGCCTGGTCCGTTTTATTCCTGCTATGAGAGAAACCATCCATTTTTTTTCCTTTTCTTTCTGGTTTATTTCACTAAGCATGACCTTTTCCCGCTCCATCCATGTTGTTGCAAAAGGCATGTGTTTTGTTTTTGTTTTTGTTTTTTGGTTGCTGAGTAATATTCCGTTGTGTATATGTACCACATCTTTTTAATCCAGTCATCTACTTTTTTAGGCATTTGGGCTGTTTCCATGTTTTTCCAATTGTAAATAAAGCAGCAATAAATATGAGGGTGCAGGTATCTTTTTGAATCAGTGTTTTTGTGTCTTGTGTAGATATCTAGGAGTGGATCCCTGTCTTTTAAATAAATAACAAAAATAGTTTTCATGTGATAATTCTCATTGTCCAGGAGTACTTTTGAAAGGGTTTGTTGCCCTGTTCATGAAGCACACAACTTCATGCTCTCCAGTGTAGTGACAGGTGCTTATCTTTATTTTAGCTAGGTATTTTCAGAATGATACTCTGCCTGAAAACAAGGCAAATGCTGCTTGCTTGCACCACCTCTTTTCACCTAACTCCCTTTTAAGCCCCAGATTCAATAAACAGTGTAACCATTACTCATCAGAGCTGCCCCAGATTCCACAGTCAGGGATCTGATTAGCTCTTGTGTGTTTTTTCCACTTGAGAGCTCTGAGTTTACTAGATCAGGTTATTTTCCTGTGACTGAGACAATTCCTTCTTTTATTTTACTCTTGAAAGAGGGAACATCTGTTTCTTCCCTGGGGAAGTCAGTAGACCCTGTTTGGGATAAGGCATCTCAAATAATATCAGCCTTCCATTAACAGACCTCTGGTGAATTCCTCCTGCGTCTGTTGTGAAGCTCTGATTTTGGACTCCATCTACACCTGCCTCACAGAGAGGGCCCTGCCTCCAATGAAACAATTCCTAGTGTTAGAGTTAATTTTCCCACTTAGTCACTTTGTTCATGCCCATGTCTGCTTCGCCTGCTTTCCTAAATGAATCTCTGTTTCTCTGACCAAGTTGGCATTCTAATGGTTCATGGTACATTAAACTTTGAGGTAGTAATTCTCATCAAGTTATCTACGTATTTTGGTTCTACCTCACCTCTGTTTTCGTTCATTGGGGAGAAGAAAGATTAATTTGTTACAAAAAAAGAATAATTTTTATTTGTGCCTACTTGAACTTGATTTGGATCAACAAATATGCAACATACTGCCTTGATCTCCTCTACTTCCTCCTTTACTTGATATAGACTTTGCTAATAAAATCTTGACACTCTGCCTGTGACTACAATCCACCCCGATAGTCCTCAGTGTATTCTCTAGGCAGAGACTACCAACTGTACTACATACCTCCAGCTAGACCTAGCAGCCCTTTGAGATGCTGCTTAAAGGAAACCATCAGTAGTGACTTTTGAATCTCACTACAAATGGATTTACCAGTTGTTCTGTCTCAAGTAAAGGAGGATGACCAGAGTGAAAGGGTTGATCCTGTGCCACAATTTTATCTTATTCTCTTAAGAGATTACTTTGAGGTTGGAAGAATCCTAAGTGATTTTCCAAACATATGTCTCACCGATTCCAGTCCAAGTGTTCTTTAGATCACACTAGAATCAAGTCAACAGAATGAAGCAGTTGTTGGGGGGCAAGAGGAATGAATGCCCTGCCTGTTTATTATCATTCAGCACATCAAAAGACTGACATTCACTATCAGTAAGAACTATTTTGGGGCCCTCCCCGGTGGCTTCATGGGTTGTAGCACAGCACTGCAAACGAGCTGCAGCTACTTCAGCATGAGTTCAGTTCTGTCCCCAGCCAGCGAGGTGACCCACATGGTGTGACAGGCCTCTCCTGACCTGCCCGCTGCTCCCCTCAGCAGTGTACTTCGTTGATCTGCTCTACACTCTGTCTCTGGTGAATCCTCTCATCCTCCACACCTCTGGCCTGTACCCCAGTTCTGTGTGCATAAATAGAAAAAAAGACCTATCTTGAATTTTGAGTTTAATAATTCTCGATTGTTGTCTTATTTGCACAATTTTGGCAAGATGTCTGGAATACTTGAAAAAAAAATCCAGGAAACACAGTAGAGCCCAGAATTCATTTGAACTTAGAGCTTTTCTTGTTCTAAGAATTTTTTTTTTTTTTTAAGATTTATTTAAAATCTGAACTGGATACAGAACTGGGGTACAGGCCAGAGGCTCAGGGGCGGTGAGAGGCTTCACCAGAGACAGAGTGGGGAGCAGAACAGGCAGATGGACGAAGTACACTGCTGAGGGGAGCAGCGGGTGGGTCAGGAGAGGTCTGCCGCTCCATGTGGTCGCCTCCGGGGCAGGCGGGAATCGAACTCATGCGGAAGTGGCTTTAGCTTCTTAGTGCAGTGCTTTAACCCGCGTCACCAGGGAGGGCCTTGTTCTAAGAATTTTTAACTGATTAAATATGAAATGCATTTTCTCTTTTAAAATAATATAAAAGTTTATTTCTACATCATCACTTTCTCTTTTTAAAAAAGATTGAATGATGGAGTAATGAGGCTGTGTTTCTAGAATGCTGTGTGAAAATACCTTAGGTAGATGCCATTAAATGACTCCTGAGCACTTCCCTGATGGCTCAGGGCTTAAAGACACAGTGCTATCACTAATCCGCATGGCGCAGCAGACCTCTCCTGTCTCGCCTGCTGCTCCCTTCAGCAGTGTGTTTCAGTAGATCTGCCTGTTCTGCTCCCCACTCTGTCTCTGGTGAATCCTCCCGCCACCTGCACCTCTGGACTACACCCCAGTTCTTGTATGCATAAATAAATAAATCTTTAAAATAAATAACCCCTGAGCATGATAATTTTATTTACAAAGGTTTCCATTGATCCAGTTATGTATTCTCATGTTGTATTTCTTTGGAACTTCTCCAAAGGCAGATCTGCTAAACCAGTAACAAATTCTAGAAATCTAAGCTAGAACAGGCTATCAGAGGGTGAGGGAATAAGGAACATATGGACTATGGGTGTTTTGATGGTGGGCATGGTAACATTACCTTATGGGAGAGATCCTACATCTCTAAATTATATACAACATTGTAAACCAGTGTGACTGCTATAAAAACAAAGTGCTTTCAGAAATTTATAAATACAGTTGACCTTTGAACAATGGTAGTTCCTCCCTTTATATGGAGTTTTTTCAGTAAATATGCTAGGAAATTTGGGGGGGGGGTTATGACAATTTGAAAAAAACTCAGAAAAATCCCATACCTTAACAATATAGAAAAATATAAGGAAAAAGTATGTCATGAATATATAGAAAATACTAGATAATAGTCTATTTTATCTTTAGCAATAAATTTATGCAAATCTCTTATAATTTATAAAAAACTTAAGCACACACTTAACAGACTAACCATGGCATCATTTGTAGCTATTCAGTATTGAATTATAACTCCATAAAGCTGATCGTAGTGCAGGACTACTTATTAAGTTCAGTGCCACTTTTTGGCTGCTGTTGCAGTCCGCTCAAATGTTTGCACCTTGGGCTTAAAACTCCATGTCTTGCTGCTGATAGTTGCCTCTCTAGCAGAGAATGTAGTACTGTAAAAAAAAAAAAAAATCTCTTGTGGTTCACATGTTTTTCATTTGGTTTAATACAATGTTGCAAACTTAAATCCCTCAGTGAACAAATGTGAGATAACACTAGATTCTAGAAGTGCTCCCAAGAAACAAAGTCCAACATTACAAGAAAAAGGTGAATTGCTTGTTATGTACTGAGAGAGTTTTGATGGTGGCACTGATATGTGATTCATCTTGTGAGATGACGTAGGGATGATGTACAGTATCTTCTCTTCTGATTTTCTTTTCTCTGGCTTAAATTATTATGGTAACAAAATACAGCTAACCTACAAACTCTATGCTAATAGATTAGTGTTGGAAAGGCTTTTCTGGATGGCAGCAGACTCTGTGATTAGGTTTTTGGAAAGTGAAAAACTAATGTGCATTTTTTTTTTTTTTTACTGTATTTTTCCATAGATAGACCATTTCAGTCTGTAACCTTTATGTTTCTCTTTCTAGTTTTTGGTGTTTTTTTTTTTTAAAGATTTATTTATGCATACGGAACTGAGATGCAGGCCAGAGGTGCAGGGGCGGCTAGAGGCTTCACCAGAGACAGAGCGGGGAGCAGAACAGGCAGATTGACAAAGTACACTGCTGAGGGGAGCAGC